GAGGAGCAGGAGGAGGAGGAGGATGAGGAGGAGGAGGAGGAGGAGGAGGAGGAGGACGAGGAGGAGGAGGAGGAGGAAGAGGAGGAGGAGGAGGACGAGGAGGACGAGGAGGGGGAGTGGGAGTTGGTCTACATGTTCAGTCTTTCGTCATTTTCGGCCTCGAGGGGCCATTTTGGGAACTGGGAAGCCGCGCGAGGTTCCAGAACCTCGCGGGGACCGCGCCGGACGTGCGGGGAGTGAAAGCGTATTTGGGTGGCGACCCCCCCGGTACCCCCTTTGGACCGCCCCCAGGGACCCCCTCGGACCCCCCCCCCCGCCGGGGAAGGGACAAATGGAAGGGGCTTCCCTTTGACGCGGTTACGACATGGGTCGATTTCCCTCAAGCCCGCTAGAGCACTGTAACGACGGCGACGACGACGACGACGACGAACGGCACAGCCCTTCACACACGCCGATAGGGTCGGCGGATTTCATGGCTCATAGGGAGCTCCACTGAAGGCCCCAGTGGCAGGGTTCGCATGCGGTGCCTGCCTCCATTCGGGCACAAGCCGCATTCGTTTCGTGGCCCCACAGGGAGCTCCACTGGAGGCCCCAGTGGCAGGGCTCGCATATTTGACCGCGCCCATTTCGGCATAATTACCGCTTACACGCTTCGTCGCCCCATAGAGAGCTCCACCGAAGGCCCCAGTGGCAGGGCTCGCATGCGGTTACCTGCTCCGGTGTCGGCACACCCCTCACACGTGTCGCGGCCCCATGCGGAGCTCCACCGGATACCCCAGTGGCGGGGCTCGCATGCGGTACCCGCCTCCATTTCGGCACAACCCTCAAACGTTTCGTGGCCCCATACGGACCTCCACCAGCGGCCCCAGTGGCAGGGTTCGCATGGGGTACCCGCCTCCAGTTCGGCGCACCCCTTACACGTTGCGTGGCTCCAGGAAGAGCTCCACCGAAGGCCCCAGTGGCAGGGCTCGCATGCGGTTCCGTGGCCCCAAATGGAGCTCCACTGACGGCCCCAGTAGCAAGGTTCGCATGAGGTACCCGCCCCCATTTCGGCACACCCTTCACATGTTCTGTAGCCCCAAAGGGAACCCCACCGAAGGCTCCAGTGGCAGGGCTCGCATGCGGTTCCGTGACCCCAAATGGAGCTCCACTGACGGCCTCAGTAGCAGGATCCGCATGAGGTACCCGCCGCCATGTCGGCACACCCTTCACACGTTGAGTAGCCCCAACGAGAGCGCCACCGAAGGCCCCAGTGGCAGGGCTCGCATGCGGTTCCGTGGCCCCCAAAGGAGCTCCACTGACGGCCCCATTGGCAGGGTTCGCATGAGGTACCCGCCCCCATTTCGGCGCATCCTTCACACGTTTGGTAGCCCCAAAGGGAGCCCCACCGAAGGCTCCAGTGGCAGGGCTCGCATGCGGTTCCGTGGCCCCAAATGGAGCTCCACTGACGGCCCAAGTAGCAGGGTTTGCATGCGGTACCCGCCCCCATTTCGGCACACACTTCACACGTTGGGTAGCCCCAGCGGGAGCGCCACCGAAGGCCCCACTGGCAGGGCTCGCATGCGGTTCCGTGACCCCAAATGGAGCTCCACTGACGGTCCCTGTACCCGCCCCCATTTCGGCACACACTTCACACGTTAGGTAGCCCCAGCGGGAGCGCCACCGAAGGCCCCACTGGCAGGGCTCGCATGCGGTTCCGTGGCCCCAAATGGAGCTCCACTGACGGTCCCTGTACCCGCCGCCATGTCGGCACACCCTTCACACGTTGGGTAGCCCCAGCGGGAGCGCCACCGAAGGCCCCACTGGCAGGGCTCGCATGCGGTTCCGTGGCCCCAAATGGAGCTCCATTGGGGGCCACATCAGCAGGGTTCGCATGAGGTACCCGCCCCCATTTCGGCACACATTTCACACGTTGGGTAGCCCCAAAGGGAGCCCCACCGAAGGCCCCAGTGGTAGGGCACGCATGCGGTTCCATGGCCCCAAATGGAGCTCCACTGACGGCCCAAGTAGCAGGGTTCGCATGCGGCACCTGCCTCCATTTCGGCACACCGCGTGCTGTCCCCCAGGGCCGCGCCGACAGACGTACAGATCGCACGTAACGGGTTACATCCAGATGTAACCCGTTACAGGCGACCTTTGCAACGCCGCTGCGTCTTTCCCACGCACGCCTTAGTCCTTTTTTTTTTCTTTCTTTTATTGTTTTTTTTTTTTTTTTTTTCTTTTTTTTTTTTTTTTTTTTTTTTTTTTTTTTTTTTTTTTTTTTTTTTTTTTTTTTTTTTTTTTTTTTTTTTTTTTTTTTTTTTGTTCTTTTCTTTTTTTTTTTTTTTTTTTTTTTTTTTTTTTTTTTTTTTTTTTTTTTTTTTTTTTTTATTTTTTTTTTTTTTTTTTTTTTTTTTTTTTTTTTTCTTTTTTTTTTTTTTTTTTTTTTTTTTTTTTTTTTTTTTTTTTTTTTTTGCTAGCCCATTCCCTTAGTTTGTACTCGTCTCGCGGTACTCGCACCAGCACATGGTTGGGTGCTTCGCCAGGCGAATTCCGTTAGTGTCTTCGTTATTCCCCAAGAAGAGACATTGCCCCGCGTCTTCTTCTCCTCTCATCCTCCCCTTCCTCCTTCCTCCCTCTTTCCATACCTATCTCTGCCCTTCGCATGTTCATTTCGGCACATCCCTCACACGTTTCGTGGCCCCACAGGGGTCTCCACCGAGGGCCCCAGTGGCAGGGCTCGCAAGCGGTACTTGCCCCCGTTTCGGCACACCCCTCACACGTTGCGTGGCCCAACAGGGAGCTTCACCGAACGCCCCAGAGGCAGGCTTTGCATGCGGTACCCGCCTCCATGTCGGCGCACCCCTTACACGTTTCGCGGCCCCATAGGGAGCTTCCCTGGTAATTCGCAAGCTGTACCCGCTCCTCTTTCAGCACACTCCACCCGTTCCGTGGCCCCATACGGAGCTCCACCGAAGGCCTTGGTGACAGGGTTCGCATGCGGTACCCGCCCCCATTTCGGCACACTCTTCACACGTTTCGTGGCCCCAGATGGTGTTCCACCAGAGGCCCCAGTGGCAGAGTTCGCATGCGGTACGCCCCCATGCCGGCACACCCTTCACACGTTTCACGACCCGAAAAGGAGCTCCACCGAAGGCCCCAGTGGCATGGTTCACATGAGGTACCCGCTCCATTTCGGCACATTCCGCACAGGTGTCGTGGCCCAATAGGGAGCCCCGCCGAAGGCCCCAGTGCAGGGCTTGCAAACCGTACCTGCCTCAATTTCGGCACACCCCTCACACGTTTCGCGGCCCCATACGGACCTCCACCACATGCCCCAGTAGCAGGTTTCGCATGCGACACGCGCCTCTATTTTGATACGCCCCTCACACGTTTCGCGGCCCCATACGGACCTCCACCGACGGCCCCAGTGGCAGGGTTCGCATGCGGTGCCCGCCTCCATTTCGGCACAACCCTCACACGTTTCGTGGCCCCATAGTGAGTTCCACCGGAGGCCCCAGTGGTAGGAGTCGCATACTTGACCGCTCCCACTTCGGCACACTCCTCACACGTTTCGTGGCCCCATAGACAGCTCCACCGAAGGCCCCGCCGCATGCTGCCCCCTGGGGCTGCGCTGGCAGACGCGCAGATTAGCCGTGACAGGGTACATCTAGATGCAACCGGTTACGGCCGACCTTTACTCCATCAGCGACGTTCTCCAGGCAGACGTTTCGTGGTCCCATAGGGAGCCCCACCGAAGCCACCAGGAGGGGGTTTTGCATGTGGTTCTCCGCACCCCTCACACGTTTCGTGGCACCACAGGGAGCTCCACCGAACCCCCCAGGAAGAGAGGTGTTGCACGTGTTTCTTCAGATCCCTTACTTGTTTCGTGGCCCCATAGGGAGCCCCACCGACGCCTCCAGGAAGGTGTTTTGCACGCCCTCACACGTTTCGTGGCCTCATGGGGAGCTCCACCGAAGCCCCCGGGACCCGACAGCATGGGGTCATCAGAGAGTGCTCGAGGACGGGATGGTTCCCTCGTAGTCATGCCTATATATGTTCCCTCGGTCTCTCCTTGTCGTCCCTTCCCTCCTCCGTCTTCCGCGGCGGCCCAAGACAATCAGGGGGAGCAGAAGGAGGAGGAGGAGGATGAGGAGGAGCTCGGAGGAGGAGGAGGAGGAGGAATAGGAGAAGGAGGAAGGATGACATGTCGGTGGCCGAGTGGATGGGGAAGACAGGAGGAGTCTAGCAGTAGGAGGAGCAGGACAAGTATGATAGTTCGCGGCTCAGAAGGGCGTTAGAGTGTCGTTCTACTCCTGCCGCTTGGAGCGTGCACTAGGTGGCGAGTACGGCTTCCTCACGGAGTTCAGCGACGTCGTGTCCGAGGATGGTGCTTGTTTGTTTTTTTGTTACAGCCTGGACCCCAACCAGTGTGTTTCTAACAGTTCACGTCGTGCAACATGTAGATGGAGAAATCTAGGTGGTACAATCTAGGCGATGCGATCTAGTTTGTGCAATCCATGCTGTGTGCAACATCTGATGTGCAAGCTCTGTGGTGCAAACTCTGTTGTACAATTCGACGTGGAGCAATCGACATTGTGCAATATATGCGGGGCAGTCTAGGTGGTGCAATCGATGTTGTGCCACACATGTTGTGCAATCTATGTTGTGCAATCGAGGTGTTGCAATCTAGCTTGTGCAATCGACGTGGTGCAATGCAGAGCTATGCACAGCAAGACAACGCAATGCAAAGCAATGCAACGCAAAGCCATCTATGTTGTGCAATGTAACGTCGGCGACGAGCGACGACGGGGCGGCGACTGCGACAACATAGCCGCCAGATTGGCAGACAGGCTCAGACGACGGGCGGCGACGGGGCGACGGGGCGGAGAGGGCGACTACGTAGCAGCCAGACCGACCTTCAGGCCCAGACGACGGGCGGCGACGAGGCGGCGACGGGGCGGCGACGGCGACTACATAGGCGCCAGATCGACCTTCAGGGTCCGGTCGTTCTTCCACAAGTGAGAACCCCTAAGTGCAAGCATTGTTTGGTGAACGTAGCTGCGTACCTGCGTGCATGAGCTGATATTGTTCGAGACGTCATCTGGAGGGATGCGATGGGAAAAGGTAACTGCTCGGGCGTCTCCTTTCGTCCTCCCAGATTCCTCTTTCTCGTCCCTCTTCCTCGTATTCCTCCCTTCTCGCTCCTTGCTCCTTGCTCCTTGGTCCTCCGTCCTCTCTCCTCGCCTCCCCCCCTCCTCCCTCTACCCTTCTCCGTCCTCCCATTCCGTTTCTCATCTCTCCCTGTCCTTCGTCCTTTCTTTTGCCCTCCCTCCCTCCCTAGGTGGAGAGTGTGTGATTCTTTCTTTCCTTCCTCTCTCGTTTTGGTTGCTTTTGCGGTCCAGGCGGTTCGGTTCTTTGTTAGGGTGGACGGTCCGACGCACGGGTACCATGAGGTCACCGTCGGAAGGTTTGCCTTTCCCTAAGGCGGTCTCAGCACCCCTGTGGCCCTCTGCCCAGGCATGTGCCTGGATCTGCCAGCTCCAGTTCAGACTTTCCTGCGGCATGTTGCTATGGCTAGATCGCTCAGGTGCCTACGCTGGCGCGATCGCCCGCCTTCCTCTGGACTGCTCCGTGGTTGCAACGAAGTTCAGGCTCTTCGGAGCTCTCTCCTCGGCCTCTCTGGGGGAGGGCGCCAGCTGCCTTGGTTTGAAGACTGCGGAGCTCTGCGCGGATTCCTTGGAGCGGCGCCCGCCCCCCCGTTGGCGGCGCCTCGGGCGCCGGCCCGCGAGGTCCCTGCGGAGCTCCGAAGGTTCATGTGCAGGCCGGGTGTCGCGCCTCTGGTGGTGGTTGTGTTATCGGACCGAACCGGTCTGCAGCTCACTCCTCTTCCACCTCCTCCTCCTCCTCCTCCTCCTCCTCCTCCTCCTCCTCCTCCTCCTCCTCCTCCTCCTCCAGGCCTTTAGGTGTTCGTCGCCCCCCTGCCTCGGGGTCGGCGCTTCGCTCGTCGGAGGCGTGCCGTCCTTGCCTTTCGGAGGCTCGGGCGGACGCCCGGGAGGAGCGCGCGGCAGTGCGGGGCCTCCTCGGTCGGAGCAGGGTGCGTTGAGGCTGCGGCAGTGGGCCATTGGGGGGCCCCCTCCTCGCTGCCACGGCCGGCCGCGTCTGGGAGAGCTGGTGCGCGTGGACCACGGGGGCGGGGGTATGGGGACCGATCTTGAGCTGCCGATGCCTCAGCTCTGAACGCTTCGCGTGACCCCACCAGCCCATCCAAGAACGGTGTCCAGGCGAGCTGCCCTGATCAGGGATGAGGAGGAGCATGCAGAGGAAGACAGGGCTCGCGGAGCCGTCATACCCCAAGAGGCTAAGCCGTCATACCCGACGGGTATCGTTTTTTTAATATTATTTGTTTTAGCTGCCGCTGTCTCTGCTCGGCCTGATCCGACCTGGGAAGAGACCGCTGGCAGAGCGCAGCGCTGGGAGGACCAGAGACGGCAACGCACTCGCGTGCGCGAGTGGGGTTACGCTCTGAGCGTTGTGTGCCTCGCAGCTCCTCGGTCGCACCGAGGTTTTTGAAAATGGGTACAGAAGTTCTTCCTTCCTTGGAGGCCAAAGTCTACCGACTTCTGGAGGACCCATATCTCAGGCCGATGCCAAATACCATTTTCACGTCTTAGCCACAAGCTTCTATAGACACACATTCGGGGTGTATGCGTCTATAAACAACGCGGCCGTTGCTATCGGCGGAGCGCAAGATCGGAGACTGGGCAGGTCTGTCTACTGTATGTTCCCATTTTAGAGCTGGTGCCACATGGTACTACAAGGTTTTTCTAGACTTTGCGCGCAGTGATGCCCCACTACCCCCAAACACGAGTGAGCAGGATCAAGCGCCGATGCCAACAGCGGCAGCGGAGTCGGACCGATGGCATGTCACGGTCAGAAGCTAACCCTTCGTTATCCAGTCGTGTCGCGCCCAAGGACACAGCACGTGCACGGGTCCGTGAGATGATGGAGAAGTTCGCGGTGCGCGAGTTCCAGTTCTACAACGCTTTTGAGGGCTTCTCGAGGCGAGAGGAGGGGGAGGAGGAGGAGGAGGAGGAGGAGGACGAGGAGGAGGAGGAGGAGGAGGAGGAGGAGGAGGAGGAGGAGGAGGAGGAGGAGGAGGAGGGAGGAGGAGGACGGAGGAGGAGGAGGAGGGACGAGGAGGAGGAGGAAGGAGGGGCGGAGGAGGAGGGGGGGGGAGAGGAGGAGGAGGAGGAGGAGGAGGAGGGGAGGAGGAGGAGGAGGAGGAGGAGGAGGAGGAGGAGAGGAGGAGGAGGAGGAGGAGGTAGAGGAGGAGGAAGGAGGAGGAGAGGAGGAGGAGGAGGCAGGACGAGCTGGAGGAGGAGGATGATGATGAGGAGGAGTGAGGAGAGGAGGAGGAGAGGAGGAGGAGGAGGAGGAGGAGGAGGCGGAGGGAGGAGGAGGGAGAGGAGGAGCAGAGAGGGAGGAGGAGGAGGAGGAGGAGGGGAGGATGGAAGAAGAGGAGGAGGAGGAGGACGAGGAGAGGAGGAGGACGGGAGGAGGACGGCGGAGGGAGGAGGAGGAGGAGGAGAGGAGGAGGAGGAGGATGGGGGAGGAGGAGGAAGAAAGAGGAGGAGGAGGAGGGAGGAGGAGGAGGAGGAGGAAGAGAGGAGTAGGAGGAGGAGGAGGGGTGGAGGAGGAGGAGGAGGAGGAGGATGGGGGAGGGGGAGGAGGAGGAGGAGGAGGGGGAGGAGGAGGAGGAGGAGGAGGAGGAGGAGGGAGGAGGCAGGAGGAGGAGGAGGAGGAGGAGGAGGAGGAGGAGAGGAGGAGGAGGGTGGAGTGAGGAGAGGAGGAGGAGGGGGAGGAGGAGGGGGAGGAGGGGGGAGGAGGAGGAGGAGGAGGAGGAGGAGGGGAGGAGGAGGAGGAGGAGGAGTTGGATGATGGTGAGGAGGAGGACTAGTATAAACCCAATAGCCATCAACGATGTTGGAATAGACCCTCCCTCCAAGCTCCCTCTTCATAGGCCCCTACGACGCTTCATTTCCACTGCTGGATCTGCCTCGTTGGGAGACACCCGTTTGAAGTCCCGGAAGCATGTTAAAACATTGTTTTCGGGAGTCCAACGCCACGGATCAATTTGATTGCTACGTCTCGACGATCCCGAATCGTGCCAGAACGTCGTTCTTGGGATTTCAGCACCGCGAATCAACGTAATTGTTGCACCCGCTAAATCTAGAATCCTTCGAACATGCAATTTCTGGTGCGTTTATCGTGGAAATCCGTGAAACTCTTGCAAATTTTATGAACGAATGTGCGCGGCGAGAGCCGCATTTTGAAAAGGAACCTCCCTCAATCCGTGAAGCTCTTGCATTTTTTTCGAAAGTGCGCGGCGCTAAGACGAGAGCCACATTTTGAAAACGGGTGATCCTCATTCTGGGAAGCTCTTGCAATTTTTAGGAACGAATGTGCGCGGTGCTAAGGCGAGAGCCACATTTTGAGAACGGGTGATCCTCAATCCGTGAAGCTCTTGCCAATTCTTAGAGCGAATGTGCGCGGCGCTAGGGCGAGAGCCACCTTTTGAACAACACCTGCACTCCATCTGTGAAACTGTTGCCAATTCTTAGGCTTCAGGGTCTTAGATGGTGAGGACGTCTCAGGCGAAACGCCTGGCCCGCCCTAAAAACTTGCCTCGGGGTGCGACAGGGAGAAGTTATTTATAATGAAAAGCAATGGAGGAGGAGGAGGAGGAGGAGGAGGAGGAGGAGGAGGAGGAGGAGGAGGGGGAGGAGGAGGAGGAGGTTGAGGAGGAGGAGGAGGAGGTTGAGGAGGGAGGTTGAGGAGGAGGAGGAGGTTGAGGAGGAGGTTGAGGAGGAGGAGGAGGGGTTGTCCAGCTTGGTTTGTCCAGGTGGTTGTCGGGGATAGCCCTGGGGTTGTCCAGCATCTGCTACGTTTCATGCTCATTTCCGTCGGAGATCTACAGCGCCTCGAGGCACCACGTGCGGACCCGAACAAGGGCAGTATCCCTGGTGATCCTGTTTCTGATATCAGTGCGTCTTGCAGTCGGGCCAGGCCCTCCTGCACCCTCCTGTGGTCGATACGTCAGCCTGTTCACACGCCTGCGTCGTCCTGCTACAGATGTGGGCGAGACCGTGGTTGACGCTTTCCTTTCTGCACGTGGCGACGCGGCTGCTGCGCGCACTGCGCCCTCGTGCTGGAGCAGCGCGGCGAGGTGCCGGGGCGACAGGGGGGCGGCACGTGTGCGCCCAAGAGGTGTTGGTCTCGCGGGGATTCGAAGCGAGCTGCGGTCCCAAAAAAGAAGCTCGCACTCTGTTTTTTCCCAACCATCCTGTGGTGTTGGGTCCTCGTTTTGAAGAGACGGTGCCCCGCGTCTCCTTCCTGCTTCCTCCTCCTCCTCTCCTCCTCCTCTCCCTCCACACACCCCTCACACGTTTCGTGGCCCCACAGGGAGCTCCACCGAAGGCCCCATGGCTGCCGTCCGCATGCGTCCCGCACACCAATTTCGGCACACCCCTCACACGTTTCGTGGCCCCATAGGGAGCTCCACCGAAGGCACCAGTGCTGCCGTCCGCATGCGTCCCGCACACCCAGTTCGGCACACCCCTCACACGTTTCGTGGCCCCATAGGGAGCTCCACCGAAGGCCCCATGGCTGCCGTCCGCATGCGTCCCGCACACCCATTTCGGCACACCCTCACACGTTTCGTGGCCCCACAGGGAGCTCCACCGAAGGCCCCAGTGCTGCCGTCCGCATGCGTCCCGCACACCCATTTCGGCACACCCCTCACACGCTTCGTGGCCCCATAGGGAGCTACACCGAAGGCCCCATGGCTGCCGTCCGCATGCGTCCCGCACACCCATTTCGGCACACCCCTCACACGTTTCGTGGCCCCACAGGGAGCTCCACCGAAGGCCCAGTGCTGCCGTCCGCATGCGTCCCGCACACCCATTTCGGCACACCCCTCACACGTTTCGTGGCCCCATAGGGAGCTCCACCGAAGGCCCCAGTGGGTGCCCGCATGCGTCCCGCACACACATTTCGGCACACCCCTCACACGTTTCGTGGCCCCACAGGGAGCTCCACCGAAGGCCCCAGTGCTGCCGTCCGCATGCGTCCCGCACACCCATTTCGGCACACCCCTCACACGTTTCGTGGCCCCACAGGGAGCTCCACCGAAAGGCCCCATGGCTGCCGTCCGCATGCGTCCCGCACACCCATTTCGGCACACCCCTCACACGTTTCGTGGCCCCACAGGGAGCTCCACCGAAGGCCCCATGGCTACCGTCCGCATGCGTCCCGCACACCCATTTCGGCACACCCCTCACACGTTTCGTGGCCCCACAGGGAGCTCCACCGAAGGCCCCAGTGCTGCCGTCCGCATGCGCCCCGCACACCAATTTCGGCACACCCCTCACACGTTTCGTGGCCCCATAGGGAGCTCCACCGAAGGCCCCATGGCTGCCGCCCGCATGCGTCCCGCACACCCATTTCGGCACACCCCTCACACGTTTCGTGGCCCCACAGGGAGCTCCACCGAAGGCCCCAGTGCTGCCGTCCGCATGCGTCCCGCACACCCATTTCGGCACACCCCTCACCCGTTTCGTGGCCCCATCGGGAGCTCCACCGAAGGCCCCATGGCTGCCGTCCGCATGCGTCCCGCACACCCATTTCGGCACACCCCTCACACGTTTCGTGGCCCCACAGGGAGCTCCACCGAAGGCCCCAGTGCTGCCGTCCGCATGCGTCCCGAAAAAACCCCCCCAATAAAAACCCCCCCCAATTTCGGCACACCCCTCACACGTTTCGTGGCCCCATAGGGAGCTCCACCGAAGAAGATATTCACAATTGCGGTACTCTCAACTGCATATGGTTGGGTCCTTCGCCAGGCTAATTTGACAGGGGAAGTCTTCCTGGTCAAACTGTGCCCCTGGCCCCCCGGACTACAACAAGAACGGCTCCGCCTGAGACTTCCTCCAAATTTACTCAGGACCGCACCCTCCCGTCTGAGACCTCCTCCCAATTTGCTCAGGAACGGCGCTCCCGCTTGAGACTTCCTCACAATTCAGTCCGGGTCAAACTGCGTTGTTTCTCCCCCTGATTACAACAACAACGGCTCCCGCCCTAGACTTCCTCCAACTTTACTCAGGACCCCCGCTCCCGCTTGAGACCTCCTCCCAATTTACTTAGGATCGGCGCTGCCGCCTGTGACTTCCTCGCAATTTAGTCAGGACCCCCCTCCCGTCTGAGGCTTCCTCACAATTTACTCAAGAACGGCGCTCCCGCTTGATATTTCCTTGCGCTTTAGTCTAGACCCCCGCTCCCGCCAGACATCCCCTTTTCAGGAATTGCGCTCTCGCCTGTGACTTTTTCCTAGTTTATTCAGAAATCGCACTATCTACGCTCAGGCACCACGCTCGCTCCAAGGACGCCGTCACACTTTACTTAAGGAATCGCGCTCTCGCCCTACTCAGGCATCCCGCTTGAATGTCCCACCCGCCCGACCCGCCCGTCAGAGGATCGCCCGCCCGTCGTGGGCCGCCGCCCGAGACTTCCTTGTGGAGTGGCGCTTTCGCTTAGGACTTCTTCGAACGTTCGCAATGTTACCTTCCTGCTCCTCCTTCCTCACGGGCCGCCTCACCCCTCCTTCCGATTCCCTGTCCCTCGCACGTCAACTGGTGTTGAACTTTCATTCCTGAAGAATGATTTCTGTTGGTCCCCCCCCACCGGTGCGCATTGTTCCCAACCATCCTGTGGTGTTGGGTCCTCGTTTTGAAGAGACAGCGCCCCGCGTCCACTCCTCCCGCTGCCCCTCCCCCTCCTCCTTGCGTTTCACCCACCCAGCACAGCGTTTCGTAGCCCCATAGGGAGCTCCACCGAAGGCCCCAGTGGCAGGGTTCGCATGGCGGCCTCGGGCCATCTCGGCACACCCCTCACGAGGATCGTGGCCCCATAGGGAGCTCCACCGAAGGCTCCAGTGGCAGGGTTCGCATGGCGGCCTCGGGCCATTTCGGCACACCCCTCACGAGGATCGTGGCCCCATAAGGAG